TATGCTATCGCTGGTGGTTTCCGGTCAATGGATATTAAGTATCTTATCTAGACAATTGCTTATAAATACTTGTACCTTTTGAACGATGGTTATGATAGTTCTCGAAGTTTCAACTCCGTATAGTAGAGTTACTTACTTATGCCTGTGACTACTCGTGAAGGAGCATAGGTCACTCACCAGCATTCTCCATCCAACACTGTCCTGGGCAATCCTTTCCACCTCCTTCCAGTTGTAATTCATCCTTTCCAGATCTGCTTCCATTTCTCAGTGATGTGTTCTTTGGTCTTCGTCTTTTCCGATTCCATTCAGGATTTCAAGTTAGGGCTTGCCTCGTGATGTAGTTTGATGATTTGCGTAATGTATGTCCTATCCATTTCCATCGACTTTTCCTAATTTCCCATTCATTTGGCAGCTGGTTTGTTCTCTCTCACAGAAGGTTGTTACTGATGTTATCCGGCCAATGGATGTTGCGTATCTTGTGTAGACAACTATTAATAAATACTTGTACGTTCTTGATGATGGTTGTATTAGTTCTCCAAGATTGAGCTTCGTACAGTAGAACTGACATGATGTTCTCACTTCTATAAATAGAATCTTTGTATTATGTGACTGGTACTTAATTTTGTTTACAATAATATGATGATGTAACTTCTCTATTTAATTAGTGAGTAGTTAACTGAAAACTTCACAATAATAATAATAAATTTATTCTTTCTAAAACTCTCTCAATGTATTAGTCGATGAGACTATAATTTATGGACGAACCAATCAGATTTACGACAATAGGTATTAGATTTTGGCGCGAAATCCATTTATAACTGATGTCAGTCGGTGACGAAAACCCTAGATCTAATTCCTAACCCTAACCATCAAATGTAAATCATAATCCTTATCCTTCAAAATGTTTTATAACCCTCATTTAGCTCTAGTAAGTAGATAGACACTCGCAGTGTCATCTTAGCGTCGCTCAAAGGTCGTCCATAAATTATAGTCTCATCGAACAGAGATAAGTCATTTATGTTCACTAACTCTACTTAATCAACCGTCAGCTTAAGTTGAATTCAGTTTTTTTAATTTTTTCTTTAAACTATCATGGTAGTTCTCATCGTCACACTGTTTATTTTTACCATGTCTGAAACTTATCATATTCTAGTTATGTGTTGTGACATCTTCCGAGAATTACGACGGAGCCTCCGGAGGCCCTAAGGGAGACGAAACGTTTCCATTCAATCAGAACGTGATGGAGCTTTCTAGAATATCAACGTGGCATACTATGATTGGACAGTAGCATAGTTTGCCTGTTTACGGATTGGCTGAATTATAATGATGTTAGAACAAACGCTAATATCTATAAATACCCATGATTTTCTGTACATTTTGATTCTTACCTAACAAACACTTTTCCAGCTTCCTTCTGTCTTCTGATTTTGTGACTGTGGAGTTCCATATGTTCGAGTACCGTAGCGACATACGCTATTCTGTGTTAATCAAACAGCAAACATAACATTTTGTACAAGCTAAAATGTAATGCTAATCTGATGTATCATGGTGTTGTATTAAATACTTATAACTATGAGTTTTAAAGACTGAACAACACACCATAATTTTTTTGGTAAAAAGTAGAGCACTTCCTATGAAACTCATTTTTTCTCCACTCAAATTCCAGTCAGTCAGTAGGATCGTAGGCAAAAACGAGGAAAATACAACGGTGTGCATCACTATGCTCCCGAGTTCTTACTATCCCACTGAAATGGATAGTACACTGATGACTATCTCCTGAAATTCAGTCACAGAGAACCTGCTTCACATTTAAACTGATTACTATACCTACAATAGCAAGGCTGAGAGAAGTAGCAGATACACAGAGGATGAAAAGTATTCGTAATCCGTGTTAATTGAGTTTAAGTGTTTGACTACACTTTCATCTTAAATGCAAGTTTTAGAGACACAGTATATATCAGTGGTACGAAATTCTAGACTCCTAGCTAATGAAGTCTGTTGTTTGATTCGATTTACGGTTTGAACATTGAAAGCTCCAACATGGCTAGTGGGGACAAAGAAGAAACCATAGAAGAGGAGTTGATAGTAGAGATACCAGGAAATGAAGAGGGAATTCGATTGTGAACAACAGGCCTTTAAGTGTTTTTAGAGATGCAAAGATGGTCGTTACTTCCTGGTCACCTGAAAATTAGAAAGAAACAATGAGGTACGCGAACTAGATCACTGTTCTAATCCCCAACTGTCCTGTTAACAAGGGTTTGTCTTAAAGTAATTACCAGTTTAATACAAGCGACGAAACACAGTATTTTAGTAATAAGTCAGCAGTAGGAGGATGGTCGACTTATCACGAAATAACAATCAATTACATGTTTGCAAAGGTGAAATAACTGCACATACTCAAATACTTTTTATTTGGTGTATTCAAAATCAGAAACGGATGAGAGTAATATTGAGAAGGCTGGTCAGTACCATGAAATCTGTAGTGATCGAAAAGAATATCACCATTCGTAATATTACGGCAATTGTCAATCACAAATGCTGAGGTCTATGTACATAAAAGAAATAAGAAGTTGGTCAAATAAAACTTTGAGAATGTAAGTAATTTTTGTTTCACGAGGTCCTAAAACTACTTCATGGAGGTAAAATGGGGGACAGTAGAATGTTACTGATTTATAGATCTCAATGCTATTGGCAGGTGAATGGTCTAAAACTTGGTCTTTGGAACTAGACGTTCCCAAGTTACCATTATCTGATCATAGGCCTTTTCGAAACACCACCTGTGTATGTTGAAACAACCGACTGACTGATGATGTGGTTAGGATTGTAGTACTACACAAACATGACAAATAATTCAACGAGACTGTAGATCTCTATCAAACGAAGTGGTTAGTACATATGCACATAATCAACGGTTGGTGATTTTGTGGAACATGGTTCAAAATCGGTCGCAAGAGTGCAGGTTCACAGAAGATTACTGTCTCATAATCTGGTTCCCAACCACTAGCTGATATTTTGTATCATTTGATTCAACCTAGTGTATTATCGTACTATCCAATTTCAAGTACAAATCTTGAAACTCCCTGTTATATTTAGTCATTCGTACTAAAACTAACAATTCTGTTGTCTCTACTCCTTTTCTCTTCATTTTGCTGAGGTAAGAATTATGATAAGCAGACTTTTCAGATCTTTAAGAAAAGCATCCCATTCGTCTGAATATTGTCTGTTTGGACATTCGCTGCATAGCTGTGTAAAAGCCAAGCCTTCACTGAGCATCTATTCATTTATATGATTATGTGGAGCAGGTTATATTGACTACATAAATCGAGTTCTTTCAAAGCCCACCTCCAAACATTATCCTGTCTGGCTATTTAAGGAGTACAAAAATCAGTCAAAAGCTCTACCCTGACCTATCTAGTTAGTACTATTTTGTCTGTTCTATCAGAATCATTCTTCAAAGCTATTCATAATCAAAAGAATCGGTTCTAAAGGAATACTTACTTACGTAAGTAAGTACAGCAGAGGCTATAGCTATGGACCAATTCAAGCTAAACCTCTGCGTAGAAAAACTACATTCAATCCCTCAGTTTCCATGGTCTTAACCTTCCTTTCTATTTTCTATGATCTACTGTTTTTTTTCTACTATTTTCCAATTAGTTTTTATAACTATTCATTATCCTTTTGAATCTTCCTATTGATCAGTCTAGTCATCATCAATTTCTGTTTATAATGTTTATGACATTGGAAATATAAAGGCAATCCGCACAGGATACATATAAGTCAACAAGAGACTGATCAATTGTAGTCCTAAATATCAAAGAGAATATTCATACAACCAGTACAAGTGAATTAAACTTCACTTAATTGCACAACCTAGTGGCTATCTGGACTCAATACTTGGGTGAATAACGCTCCAATTGTTTAAAGAGAACAGTACTACGTCTGAGTCCTGGAGCAAACATCAACTTCGACATTCAAGCACACTAAACTGATGAGTCTCAAATAAGACGAAACACGAGACCTGACATAGATTACTAGTCACCATTCAGTTCTACTTTTCATTATTCTGTTTTTAATATTTTATCAAATAGACAAATATCTTCACAGCTCTCACTATCCGTTGGATTATTATAAAATTTTCTTTGAATACTTGACTTTTGTATTCAACTCATGGTACGATACAACTTCAAAGTTTTGCAAATTAATTATCACTATTCAATTTTACTACAGACTGATATTATTATCATTACTATTACGGTGGTGTACGCTATTGATGTCAACAGATATAAATAAGTAGTATGTATCATCAATCGAAAGTGAAATGAATGGAGGCAGAAGGTTAAGAAAATCGAAGAGATAAGAACGACAACACAGGATGATTGTTGTGTAAACGAAAGTACAACGAGGTTTGAGATAGCGGATTGACATTTTGCAAATGAAGTATTTATTGTATGATTCTCAGATTTCACTCAGTCAGCTACAACGTAGGATCAAGCACATATATGCATCGGTCCAGGCTCCTACACCTCATTAGCGCAACAAGATCAACACCAAATCCATAGAAGTAATTACTTCAATGGTAGTAATACATAAAAGAAAGATCGTGTATAAGGATAGAATACAGGATGAAAGAATCATTTGGTAGAAAGAAAGATATAAAGCAATTTTAATCTCATAGTTTAAAGGCAAACAAAGAATGTATACACCTACACCATTGTGATCGATTCTGAGTCATGTCACCAAGAGCCTCCAACCATTGGTTACGGTAGTCACACGGACCCCAACCAAATAGTCTGCATCCACCAACATAGCTCAGACTAGAAATCAATGACTTCAAGCACTGATGTCACGTTCTGTAATTTTGTCTGAACTTCTGTTCTCGCACGCTACACTACTACTACTATTATCTTCTTAGTAAATAAATCAATCATAAATATGATTATACACCTTAGATTGACAAACAGAAGATGAAAAGAAATTCTCTTCATTTTTTTATTCATTTTAAAAATTATCCTTTGAGAAATAATATGAAAGTGTACAGAAAGAAAGAAAATGACAAACAAGAAGGCAACGAGATAAAAATGATACAGTTTACAGGATACATTGTAATGTAAAGTCATGGCCGAAGGGGGGGGGCTGGATGGATGGATGAAATAATGTCAACAGCGGGAGAATACATGTACAACAATATTAATGATGATGATAATAAATAATAATGGTAATAAATAATATAATAAGGTTAAATATCTGTTATTTAACAATGACATTTTATTCTATAATAATTCACATCGATCCGATTGTGATTTGATATGACGAAGACGTTTTTTTGGATGGAAATTTTTTAAATATTGAACTTGACGAGCATTTAATGCTCCATTTCTTTGTCTAAAATAATAATTTTTAAAAAAAAAGTATATGGAAATGGTCAGTAAGAAACTTTCATGATTAAGATGAATACTAGTTGATACATTATAACATAGAACCCAGCATATATGTGTATTGGTTTAAGTGATTACACACTGTTAGTACAACGAGATGGAATGATTAAGGTAATATCCAGGGTAGTAGAAATAGAAAAGATTAGGCATCGAGGATACGACTTGAGAAGAAAATATGGATTAGCGGAATAAACGAACATTGATAAGATAATTTAGAAACTGCTTTCAAATGACCTGGTACGGCCGAGAGTGGGGAGAGTCGGCCCTCTCTCTCTCTGTCCAAATGCTCTCACATGGCCACGCGTATACAGCCATTGTCAGGGAAGTCCTACCCACTGCCTCCTCTCAACACGGGGGTGTTGTAAACGAAATGGAGAGGACGAAAATCAAATGTCTGGCGCTTTAACCAGGTTGGTGGATATGGAGGATCCATCTGAGGGAGTTGGGAAATGCTCATCCCAAACCAACGATTTACATGGGCTCCAAGATCCTGAGGGAACAAATGAAATATAAGCCTGTTGTTGCTCAACGGCTACCAGGGGACTGCATCTCCTTATGATGCTCCACTGTCTTGTGGATTAGAACTCTGGGTCAAAGGTTCGGGGGTGGCCCCCTATGAAAACCACCTGCTTTGGTTTGAGCACCCGGGCAGTATCCTAACCCTGTCGTCTATCTCTAGCCATCAACTTGCAAAGACATGCATGTAGACGACACTGATCGGTGTCGTTTTGAAGGAATCCTGCAATAGTGATCCTGGAAAAAAACAATTGTAGAGATCCTTCTACAGAGTCGGAAGCCTTAAACTCCATTAGAGATCATCTCGTTCGTAACCAAATTCACGGAAGTTTAGACTAAGAGGGTAATACATTTTCAGTAGTGCTATTACTTGCCGTCTACCTAACAATGACATTGACTTATCAAAGTCCTTCAAGATAATTAATAGATAAAGAACGTCAAATTTACTAAGGTTTACTGAAGCAAAAGGTATAAAATGACTGAAACCAAATTTATATATCCAGAAAGATTCAGTTGTTAATAGTGGTTTGCATTGGTGAACTTATTCATAAATATTTGATATAAAATTCTTTTCATGACACCAATTATTAATTAATATCAGAAGGGGTTTTTGTAGATATGATAGTACTTTTAATAGTTGAGATCATGAGTCAATTAAAACTAGGCTACCATGAAAAACCTGGAAGCACTGGACAGTCGTTTCATCCTACTGTGGGACTTCTCAGCAGTGCGCATCCACGATCCCGCCTCACGAGATTCGAACCCAAGACCTATCAGTCTCGCGTGCGAGCGCTTAACCTCTCACCTTTTATATGTTCTGTATTTAGTTCGTTTATTTTATTTTAAGAGTTACATAAATCTAACATTAATATATTATTTCTGAATAACTCTGTTCCTATACTCTTAGTTATTTATTCTAGAATATTCTTATATCTAACTTATAAATATTCACATCGATTAACATACGAACACCTCATATCCTTCCTTCTTCTACACTAATAAGTACTCTTTTCATTGACCTTCATTAATGAGAATACTTCCATTATTATAATACATAAAGTATGTAGACTGAGTTTTCTTCTTTAGAGGGTTGTAAGCAGCTGATGAAAACCGGTAAAATAGAAATAAATTCATGGTATTCTACTACATTAATTATTCTTATTTATAATCAAATTTATATGAGTTCATTTGTAGATCTATTCTGTATACAAATCAAAACAATGTTAGATTTATGAATTGATGAAATTCTAAATTATAGACAACCTTTAAGTAATGCTAAAATGATCATTAAAACAAATTCACCAACATAATAGAGTCTAAAGACGGTCGTTTACCATGACGCGCAATGCTGACTAATGTTGGAAATGGTTGGAAGAAAGTTAGGGGGGGCGGTCAAACCAAAAATTGGCATCGGTCCTTCAAGTCATGTTGGTAGATGCATACTACTTCGTTGGGGTCAGCGTGACTATTGTAACAAATGGTTGAAGACTATGGGTGAAATGGCTCAGAATCAATCACAATGGCGTCGGTGTATACATTTTATCTTCCCTTAAACTATGAGATTAAAATTGTTTTATACCGTTCTTCCTATGAACTAATTTTTTTCTCCCTGTACTACCATTAAAGTAACTACTTCTATGAATTCGGTGTTTATCTTGTTGTGCTAATGAGTGAGGTATGGCAACTTGGACCGATGCATATATGTACCCAGTCCTGCGTTTTAGCTGAGAATGGAAGAAGGTTATCAATTAGTGTAAGAAATCGAAATTCACGATCTGCAGAGTTAAAGATTTCAGTTGTTATCATCATCACGAACTAACATCAGCTATAAATGGCAACAACAACAAAAAATGTGTTCTTTTTTTGTCATATAAATGAACAAATTTCATATTTTAAATCTAATGAATTCATTCATTAATTCTAATCTTATTATTCACTTACCCACGAATCATTTCTACAGCTTCATTGTACGGTAAACCAAGTTCAATTAAAGCGGCTGCAACAAGAGCAGGAGCTCTAAATGAAAAATTATAAAATTGAATAGATTGAAATTATTATAGTTTTCAATGAAATGATTTACTTAAGTTGTACATTTGTTATTACAGTAATTTGATAAATACATATAGTAGTCTATAAGAGAATAGATATAGAATTATATGATAAAGTGAGTCGAGATTTTAAATAACGAAAGAAGATTGGGTAGTGGTGACCGTGTGGTTCGAGAGGCATAAGAGAGGTAACTGTTTATTTAACAGATATAAAGAGGAAATGAAAAACGTGTGAGTCATAACAATTGAATAATAGTCATGGAAATTGTTAGGTCAGCGGCATATGCTCCATGAGAGGCATAAAGTGTAAGTAAAGCGAAGGTTTGCAAGTTTACAGTTTTGTTAACAAGATTTTTTTTTACGAGATGAGGTTGCTAACTACAAGTTCAACCAGCTTCTTTTACCCAGGCTTGGGATCAGCAGAAATTCTAGAGGGGCTCCAGGTGGAACTTAAAAACAAAACCAAAACATGCTGGAGGAAGGTGTTAGATCTATGTAATGATGAGAATTTGCACCCAGAGTTCAAGCTTGAATTGATGAACCACTAATACCCCAGTATTGTATAAGTTTTTTTTCTTTGACCTCTCCTTGACACATTTTTTAACTGTGTAGATTATTTTAAAGGACGATTCCTTTGGAGCAACGTTCCCAGAGTTGATGAGGTGCTGCTGTATTTATCTAGTGGTTGCTTTGCATTCCTCTTTAAAACTCCATGCCTTGTAACGTTCTGAAATGTGTTTGGAAAATGTTGGTTATGTGTGGTCAATATAACCTGACCTGTATGTGCAAACAAACATACAAATACACATCAATGTGGCCCAAACTGAAAATTCATCCTTAACACATTCACGAATAGTAAACTAGCTTGCTTGAGAAGACAATACGAAGTTTAAATGAGCAGAAAACTTTCCTCAACGGTTGTGAAATTTGTTTATTCAAGAAATATTTCCATGAAGTGAAAAAAAAGTTCATAACACGCAAAAACAAATGTCGCTGACTCTTTGTGTATTAAGTTTTATGGCATATCATAATTACAATTGGAACGGGAAACTAGTGTAAATTAAGTCGATACAATCGATGTCGTTCATATTGTCTTTATTAACTATACACAGCTTGGAATTTATTGTGGTCACTGTGATATAGAAATTTTAATAACAGAAGTATATTATCATAATATTTTCTAAATCTAACCTGCCAAGTCCAGCTTTGCAGTGTACAGCTATACAACTTCCAGGTCCTTGTTGACATACGTCCGTAATCAGTTGAAACCATTTTTCAATTACTACGTCTGGAGGCGGTGCACCATCATCGTATTCAAGATCCTGTAAAATATTGAAAAGATTAAGTCAATTTATGATTAAATTAATACTTCGTTCCCTTACACATAAATACGTTGCCCGAATCATCTAAGAATTATTATTCGGTCAACACAAACTAATTTTTTTAAGACTTCAATACACAGTGAATACATTTAAAAGATTAGTTCCCTAATATTTTTGCGGAAATCCAGTATTAGAAGAGATGTCAGTTCTTGGTGGGAAATCAGATACCACTATAACAGAATGACCTATGATTCAGATGTACAATCTGCTTGTGTTTGGTCTGATCAACTAATTTACAGAGCATAAAATTCATTATAACTCCATAGGGTCGTCAAGATAAGTAAACCTGACCATTATACCAAGGTAGAAGCTATGGTTAGAAACACTAAACAATAATATCAGCATGAAGTTATCGAGATTGGTGAATTTCATTGAGACCCCAAACCGATCGAACTTAGACAACCATTCAAATCTTAAAAGCACTAGACAGCCGTTTCGTCCCGGCATGGGACTCCTCAACAGCGCGTACGCAGTAATAAAACTCATGACCAGTCTTGCGCGCGAACGTTTAACCTCTAGACTTGTACACTACTGAGTGCATGGTCATTGGTCATAAGTTTAAGCTTTCGCGCGCAACACCGATCATTCTAGGTCCGATTCCTGCATGTGTAGTCGTGTAAGCCCATCTTCACTGAGGAGTCCCATACTAGGACGAAACGGCCATCTGATGCTTCCAGGTTTTCAATGGTGGTCTAAATTAGACTGATTCATGATATCAATGAGAAAAAGTTAATATTTATTTTTTATGATAAAATAAGATCAACAAATTCATTTGACTTATCATTTATATCTAGTCTAACTGATTTACAAAATAGGTGAATACAGTAAGCAGTTTAAATTCAGTCTACTGGAGACTTAGATCTCCATATATCATTCGATAAAACTCTTAATCTATCAATAAATAAATAAATAAGAATTGAAGATGAGAAACAGAATGACAAAGAGATCTCTGAACATTTCTGAAATATAATGACATATGTGGACAGAGCTAAATTGGTAGATTCAAACCAACTGCTTGAGGTCTGTGTAATAAATGTGACTAATGATTAGAAAAAATTGAGTGATATGATCTAGAATCAGTTACAATGGCTTAAATCTATTCATTCCGTATCTTTTTCCAGATTTTCAGTTTCAGCACTCTCTCAAACATGCTTTTCAAATTTGTCTTCTCAATATTCACTATCACAACTGTTGCACTATTTCGATTCGTTTTTTTTTAATATTCATCTTATTGTGCCAATGAGTTATAGGAACTTGAGCCAACGCTCACATATGTACCTGGTTCCCATATTGATCATAACTGACTGATATGTGGTCTTCACTCAATCAGTAACAACGTAGAACTTCGTACGTACAACGAGAAGCGTACGTACATATACCAGTTCGAGTTGCCATACCACATTAGCACAGAGATACAATTGTCGATTCAAATCCCGTAGTGGTAGAAAGAGTAAGAGTATACACATCATTAAAATGTTTTTATTGTATCATAATAACTATGATAAACAATGAAATTTACCACAACTTCAATTCCAACAGATTCAAGCGGTTCTTTATCATAGGTAGCTTTGCATACTCGAACCAATTTGCGTACATTGTGTAGTTTAAAAACCTGAATGAAAATCGTTATAAAAAAACATGTTCTTGAAATGAATTAACAACTATGCATAAGTATACTTGAGATGGTGGAGATTTTTACCTCAGGTGGATGATTTTGGTGGAGTTTTGTTCTCTGAGCTGGATGGTTTGGTCTTGGAGCAAAGACTAGAAGCCGCGATACTACCAGTGATCAAGCCAAAAATTTGGATTCGCTATGTAGACGACACTTTCGTCATCGTCAAAAAGAATGAGCTGGGAAACACTTACAAACTGATCAACAACGTTTTCGATGACATCCAGTTCACGATGGAACAGGAGTCAAACAACAAACTATCATTCTTAGATATATTGATCACTAGAACCGACACAGGAAAACTGTAAACTCAAGTATATAGGAAACCGACCCATACAGATCAAATCCTCAACTACAATAGCAACAACCCAGGTCACAAAATCAACTGCGTACACACTTTGTTCAAGAGAGCGAGGACATACTGCAGCACGAAAAAATGAAGAGAAATACCTGAAGGACGTATTTCAAAAGAACGGCTACCCAATCAACTTCATCAAAAAATACCAACCACACACAGCATCTGAACCCAAGTCAAGCAGAGAAATCAACAAAAGGATCACCCTACCATAAATACAAGAAATATCAGAAACCGCAACGAGACTGCTGAAAACCTTCGGGATAGGTGTGGCACACGAACCGACAAAATCACTACAATCAATCCTATGCAAACCAAAGGATGAGATAACAAAGGAAAACAAATCAAACATCATCTACAAAATAAATTGTGCCAACTACGAAAAACACTACATAGGACAAAGCGAACGCCCCCTTCACCTTCGCCTACACGAACACCAATTAGCAGTCAAACGCCATGATATCTCCTCACTTATATCAATACACGTGGATAACTGCGGACACTTATTCGATTGGAAAAATGTGGGAATCTTAGACAGAGGAAACTCCAAAAAAACCAGAGGATTTTTAGAAGCTTGGCACTCAGATCAATCAGCAATCAACAAGCATATTGAAATCAATCCAATTTACCAACCGATCAGGAAAATCATGCATAAATATAGGAACAAAAATCAAATCACTGGGAGACACAACCAAAACAAAGAAGTAAACAATGATAAATTTAAGGTCAATAACAACCAATCAACATCGAGGTGCACAGAACAAGCTGTGAAACACATATGGAAAAATTCGAACACTTCACTTCTATCTGAAGTTTGTGCTGATGATGTCGTTCAGAAGAACGATGAAAGCTCCACGACCAAACTATCCAGTTCAGAGAATAAAACTCCACCAAAATAAGTATACTTATTTAGTTCATGAAAATTAGTAATAATATATAGCTTTTTGAACTCGCCTAGTGAAAGCGGAATCATTATATGAACCATTGGGATTAACGTCAATAATGCCCAGATTAATAAACTATTGAATAATAATAAAAACATACTAATTTTCGAACCGGTAATTAGATGAAAGAATTGTTTCATCAAATTATTCAACAAACTCTAAATAAATCTTTGATTTCCCAATCTTTACAGAACATGAAAGTCAGTCAGTCATTCAGTTACAACGTAGGACCAGGCATATAAATGCATCAGTCCAAGTTGCCATACAGAATATGAAACCATACACACAACCTTAACTCTAAAGCAATTTATTTGATAGATATAAAATACACAATTGGCAGTTTTCATTCCCAATCAATAATTTAAGTTTTATTTCTATTCTATTCTAATGAATGCTTGACCTAATTTCATCCAGAGAGTTAGGAATTATTAGGATGTTAAAGCGTAAATTGAGATTAAGAAAGAAAGAAAACAAAATTAAAAGATTTATAGAAATATTCTAATAAAGTTAAATCAAGCAAATTAATCGATTGTCTTTCATCTAGAAATAAAAGTTTATTTTGATTGAAGTCAACACAAACATGGATACAGAATAATATGAAATTATGATTTCTCATCAGCTGCTAACAGCCATGTATGTATTGTCAATTGTTTCACACGATATCTTATCTCTCAATGTAAACTTTCAATACACATCAATAGTTGTAAGTAGCTGATGAGAAACCATGTAAAAGTATGATGAATTCATATTACTCGGTATGTATGTTTGTTCTGGTTATATTCAAATTCGTAAAGGTAACCAATTGAAAGAATTTTATTTGTATGTAATCTATCTATATGCTTTAATAGATTAAGTGATGCATTCTTTTAGCGGTTACTATTCGAAGTTCATGTACAGTATATCATTTATATTTCTGTGTTTATCAATTATTAAATATAGTTTGATGCCCCCGAATGCCCTGATACGGCCGAGAGTGGGGAGAGTCCGCTCTCCCTCTCAAAATGCTCTCACATAGCCACGCGTATATAGCCTCTGCCAGGGAAGTCTAGCTCACTGCCTTCTCTCACCAACGGGGTGTTGTTTATGAAAATGAGAGGACGAAAAGCGAATGTCCGGCGCTTTATCCGGATCCCAAACCAATGGTTTACATGGGCTCCAGTATCCTGCGGGAACAAATGGTGTATGAACCAACTGTTGGTCACCGGTTTCCATGAGACTGCATCACTTTACGATGTTCTACTGCCTTGTGGGTCAGAACTTTAGGTCAAAGGCTTGGGGTGTGGCCCCCTAAGAAAACCACCTGCTTCGGTTTGGGCACCCGAGCAGTATTACAGCCCTCACACATATCGAATGAGACTTGTGTGCCTCCTTGAACCAATCGTGTTAAAATAAAATAAATAAATAAATTTTAAGTTTTACGTTAAGATCCAAGGACTAGTGATTTTATGCAAATAAGCAAACTGAAATAGGTGGAGTAGGGTTCGGATCTACGACCTATTGATTAGAAATAGTTTTTTTTAAAACACTAAGTTACACTATACGTAAAACTCCTGGGTAAAGGGCTAATGTCAGTATATTTGCTAAGCTATTGTGGCCCCCCACCATATGCTGTAAATACAAAACATTTGAGGATAACAACGACGACTAAAGTCGGATCATGAGTCCCTGAACTTGTTAAATCAACCCAATATCTATATTGGAAAATGTAAGGATTTCTCCTGAGGTTGTCATGTTACAAATAAAGCTACCATTGAGGCATTCTACTTCAGATAGGCTTCTATCTAAAAACATACGCTTAGCGTCTAAGATTTATTAACGCTTGAATAAAGATCTGGTATAATTGCATTCTTCTTTCACTGCTTGCGTGACCACATAAGGCAAAAAAACCCAGCATCTCAATGATGTTACTAATATTTCTACATTAAAACCAGTGAAGTCGGTGTACTTTGTTCTATTCCAAAAGGAAATTTTACGCCTGTATACAAACGGGATTAGGATCTTTTAATTGTAAATAGGATTACTGAATACATTGATTAAGTGTCCCAAATATGATAGTAAAACAAATACTATCTTGTTGCACTATATGTGTTATTATCTCGTAAGATGTTAGCCTTTAAATTATATTAAAAGACACTGAAAGACGTTCAGTCACCCAAAGTAAAATAAATCACTGGATTGAGGATATTGTGGTACATTAAGAATTCAAAATAATATATTCCCCCTGTGTGATCAACAAAACACTGCTGATAACTCGATAACACATTGAGTCTAACAAAAAGAGAAACTTAATTCAGATGAGTATTGGCTTGGTTATTGTATGTAGCGATAACATAAGAATCCAGGAAGCAAGAACTTATCTAACAAGAAGCTGTAAATTTCAATTGATTATCAGACTTCACATACACAATTCAACAGCTATCCATTTTAGTGTATTTGAGCAATGTGATTTAGATTTTACACTGAGTTCAATTCGTCAGAGAAAGGAACACTAGATTTTTTTAAATATAATGATGCAAATCTACTTGATGCATAGAAATACAACGTACCATGATAAAATTTTCCATATTGTGTGCATTAGGTTCATCTGTGATTAGAAAACGAGCTGTTTTATATTCAACCAGTGTGACGTGAGGCTGTTGTAACTGACGTGAGAGTTTTGAACCTCTGGGATACGGCTGGAAACTACCATGACGAGTGTCAGCGTTTGAAAGTCGTGGCATTCTGACAATGGTGCTCTGTTCGGTAACTGGTGGATAAACTGACATGACTGAATAGTTATTTAACCTAGAAGATAAAGAAGTGTGGCAAAGTAATTCATCAAGTAATTTATCTACCAAACTACAGTGAGTGGTATGTAATCAACATCTCCAAGTATAAAATTCGATATCCTAAATTGAACTATTAGTAAGCTATATATCAAATTTTTCCTAGCTCTTCAATTAAATACATCTAACACAGATAGTTATGGTAAAATGTTGAATAACCAACTTGTCTGTTTAAATACAAACAAACATATAGGGAAATGCACACTAAACATTAAAGTAGTCTTTTTACGGAGTCAAAAACACATTTACAATGGTTGAATACATTCGTCTTAGAGTGATCATCTCTCATAAGCTAGTAACTTAGTCAACGTAACTGTTTACCATCATTCATTATGTCACTCGTCTTTTATCAATCATACGGGTGATTCACTCAATGTAAGAGTTGTTGAGTTAACTTGCATCGAATTATGTCTAACAATGGTCTACATATTGTCTTACTGTCAGAAATCATTACAGAATCAATTATATGAGGTATCCATTTCTGGAGAATATCACAATACTAACATTACTTTGCTTTAACAGTCATCAACTTAAGAGGATCAGAGAAGCCCAATTTCTTATCTAGTACAAATAGTATAAAATGCTACAACTCAGATATCGTGGGAGTCCCGTTCTATTTTTCTTGGTTGGATTCTGTTACTGTGACAAAACTGGAAGTTTCTAACGTCATGAGAGCCAATTTTACCAATAATAATTCCTCGTTCTATTAACACAAGGTTTGTCAATATAAAGAGCGAAGACGGACAAAATACGCAAAGTGTATTATATTTTAGTTGACAGACACAACTTACTTTTACATCAAATAAAGTCGATGAACTGGAAGAAACCACAGACCTATGCAGTACACGTCGATAGTTGTAAACGTCAAATGATATTAGCCAAATATGCGATGAGGCCTAATCAAATGACTGGCTACTTTGGTTTGATATATTGCGCCTCGCAAAAGTTAGTATTCGTGCCGAATGACGGGGTGACACGCCGATGACTCACTGCACTGTAAAAGTGATATGATAAAACATCAGTAATTTTAAATTATTTGAGTATAAAAATAGGTGACTTTACGCGAACAAACCAGCCGACGATTGGAACACCATGTTAGCCATCTACTTAGGCTAAATTGAAGGACGGCAAACAATAATCTCTACTGATTTGCACTTTGCTTCGGTTTATTATATTTCCTTAGCTAGTTTATTGTGTATGTTTTGATTAGTTAGTTCATTTTGAGATTCTTCCCTGATGTCCGGGTTTATGAGATCTATTGATTACACTCAAGGAGGGTGTAAATAATAGATTTCTACAAGCCACTAACTGAATGCAACGTATAACTAGTACATCTTTAAAATACGCTGAGATCTACCTAGACCATTAGATTAGTGTACACAACCAACACATTACTATTGGATTTTACTTATAATTATATAAATGAACAATGTAACAGCTTTTTGGGGCATACTGAACAGTATTTATGGATGTGATTGAGCACTCAACAGGGAGACTATAATTTATGGACTACCTCTGAGTAATATAAAAGTGTTCTCAGGAAACGTTAGCCACTTACTAGGGGTGATATAGGGTGATATATTTGTGTGAGGAATCGGGACTACAACTTGGAGTTAGGAGTTGAAATTACGAATTAGAATTAGGGTTCTCATAACAAACTGATATCAGCTTCGATATCTGAATATGATTTAGCTGTATGGATGAGTGAATTTCACTCAAAAAAGCAAAAATTGTGAGATGAAATCTGAATAATTTGTCCAGAAATTGTCGTCCTGCTTTGACGTCTTGTGCTAAAGCCAACTGCTGATATTGGGCAACAAATATAACCGATTATGCAATGAAACCAGTCAAGTATATAGGTCTAAGAAAATGGTTAGTTTTTGTGAGACTAGTGAGCAATAATAATAAAACGAGTACGGAACATTTCTGTAAACCTAGTTAGTTTCACGTCATCTACTTCAATGTCTGGGTACAAAATATCAGTGAAATGGTAACTACCAATATTGAGAGAACGCCTACTATTAGGCCACTTGTAATATATACAGACTAAATATGCGTGTTATAACACTGTTGTTCAACAGCATACCAACGAGGCAGATGACATCATTAAGGCAGCGATATACCGAGTCGTATGGCGTCGCTATTATTAAACTCTAGAACTTGCGGTACTCTCATAAGTTGTTGTAAATAAAATACCACTTACAAATCAAACAAAGGATATGTACCTTTGTAAATTCATAAGCCACAAAAAATAGCTTCATGTAAACATGAAGCTATATAAATAAAATTATATTACATCACTGCTTAAGTAGACAGTCACTTTGTTTTTTAACGAGAATCAATATTTGTGAGCTATTTATGGAAATGTATTTTGACTGAGGGGCCTTCTTCATCTAATAAATAAGAATTATAGTCAGTTCAGTATATATAAAAATCTGGTACTTCATTATGACGGAGTTCAGCCCCCGATTCCCATCTAAATACATCGAAATTTGGAAAAACGATAACCCTACGCATTCTATATGCACGTTTTTACGTTTTGGTGAGAAAAATCTTAGAGTAAACACACTTGGGATTCATAAAACCACAGTACCTCATTGATTGTGACCTTTATGCACAGAACTCTCTTTAGATCCGTTGATTGTTTCGAACACGTAAACCATTGAACATAAAGTTCTTTAATTAAATGCCAATGTCAACTGGAAAATTTCTCGAACGCCGCAGTTTAACTTCATTAATAAATTAAAATCGTCAGCAAAGACTAAGATATCAGAAACAGCCACTTGGTTATATAAGATATAAAATACTTGTTATAAATCTATTGATTAACTTAATGCTGCATCATGACCTCATTGAAAGGCTCCAGATATCTTGCAGCACCCACTAAGATTAGTCCGGTGGTTCAATTAAATTGTTTTAAAGAATTTCAACAAGCATGCTCAAGTTGGTATGTACTGGAGACAAATTTTGTATATTAGTTAGCTCAGAAGCTACTGTAAATAATCTGCGGATTGTCTGATGATAAGAGTAAGCATAAAATTTTAAGAAAGATGTTTCATTTAAAAGACCTATAATTTTTGTCGAAGCTTCTTTCTGAAAGTAATGGAGGTCAGCATTTGTTGACTGGAATGACTGTTGGAGGATACAAAATTATTTTGTTTCTTTTCCATTGAAACTAAAGTGTATGATGACTTTGATATCTGAACATTCAGCAAAATATCATATTTCTGTCATTCCAGATGGGGAATTGCAGAGCTCATAAAACCTCTGTGAGTGTATTTTCATAAGTGTTTCACGGTATTCGAAGCTGAAGTGATTCTTTCGTCAGCACAATTTTGAGCTTAAGTGTATTTTTGGTCCATTAACAAAGGGGTGGAGATTTCAGATTCAGATTTGTGTAGTAAGGACAGAAGGCCTACGGCCTATGTTATTTCTTTTCTAGTATGCTTCTGTGAGTGTCCAGTCTTCTCTTGAAAGAGCCAATTGAAGGTGCGGATACCACTGCTTCAGGCAGCAGGTTCCAAGTATTGTGCATCATATTTTGAGACAATATTCCTTTGGATTTTATTCTCTACATAGCTCTCCAGTTCAGCCATGCCAAGTGAGTTGGATACGGCTTACTGAATTGATGATTGCTCTTCTTTGGTTTCATATCTGTGAACCTTGAATCCTTCTTAAATTGTGAGGCAACTGTTGTAGTAGTAACTAAAGGAAAGTAACCGGTTAAAGATGGTGATATTAAATATAAATAATCTTACTGTCTTTTGAATATTTGTGTTTAGTCAAATATGAACTTGGAACAAAAAAAATAACGTGGCGGATTTGCATGCATATAGCACACAGTTCTCATAAATCCAACATACAATATCATCGTCAACTCATTTGAAACCACTGGCGGCACCTACAGACCTTCCTACAGATGTCACTTCCCCAAACATCGAAGAAATCAGGATGGCCACCAGACAAATCAAGAGTGTGAAAGCAATAGGACCTGACAACATACCAACTGATTCATTGAACTCAAACATAGAAGCAACTGCAATTATGTTCCATGTTTCATCAAGAAAGATTTGGGAAGGGCAACAAGTGTCACAGACAAACTGGAGAGAAGAATACATCATTAAGACACCAAAGGAAGATCTGAGAAAGTTTGGGAACTCAGCTATGGGAGAAACAGTGTGTTGCCGAACCGGATGAAAAATTTCGCCAGATAACATGGATATCCGTCGTACACAGACCGCATCGCAACACAACAGATCGTTGAAAAATCAATTGAATGTAACATGTCACTAAAGACTAACTTCTTTGACTAGGAGAAGGCGTTTTGACAGCCTTGATGGAGGAATATTGCGGAACCTTAATCGATAATATTGTAAGATCCAAACTAAGGTTTGGACTGATGATTAGCTGTGTAGGTAGGTTAGATACGCGTCCTCGCCCGGTTGACATCAAGACAAAGTAACTGGCAAAAAGACAGTTCTAAAATTCATCATAGATTTAAATGTACATTGTTACCTAAACGAGTATGACTACTCAGCTATTCAAACAATAATTGTTCAATTAATCAAATCTAATTTACAGTAAATAAGGAAGTTGATAAAGGATGCGAGAAAATTACCAATCGCAACAAATAAATGCTATTCTATGCTGTCTGGATAAACCATGCACAGATTTATTCGAAAGATAATGTTTGATTGCTTTATAACATAGAATGTTTCCAATTCTGGAAGAGTGCCTCAATTCACAATCAAAAATGCAAAATTTCGGTCAATACAAGCAACACAATCAACAGGAGGGAGAAACCAATATAGCTACCGCCAAGACTAAGTATCAAGTAAAACAACATAAATGTAGTTCAAGAAAAAACATGGCATAAGAAAAATAAAAACTATAATAAAATGCAAATATTAACAACTCAAATGGAATCGAAAAGACTAACAGTATACAACTAAGAGAATCAATAGGAACAAACTGAAAGTGTATACATGGAGAGATTCTCACACACTAGACATTCAAGATGGACCTTACAACTATGATGCACCTAAGAAGATTGTCAACATCATATGAATTCAGACGACGGACCACACTTTAAAGACGTTCATAGAAGACAGTGGACAGACGTAATCCAAGTGAGGACCGATATCAGACATGGCTATTTACTCTCCCTATTTCTCTTCCTTCTGGTGGTTGAATAGATCGCGAAGACCTTCACATCTCGAAAGATGCATGAAATACAATGGACAGCTTGGATTCAGCTAGATGATTTGGACTTTTCAGGTGATCTAGCTCTTCTATCCCATACACGCCAACAAATTCATGCAAAGACAGCTAGAGTAACAGACGCCACTTCATATGTATGCCACGGCATACACAAAAATTCTAAGATCCTAAAATACAACATGGAGAACATCAACGCAATCACACCTGACCGAGAGACTCCGAAGGTGATGGAAACTCTCTGGTACCTGGACGGCATCATCGATGAAGATGTAAATGCAAGGGTTAGCAATGCAAGGTCGGCATTCCCACATTTGAACTCAAATCGACTGTCAACAAACATCAAACTCACAATCTTCGATAAGAACTTCAAAACAGTTCTACTGTACGGGGATGAAACTTCGAAAACTACTACAAACAGGTACAAGTATTTATAAACAAATGTCTACACAGGATACTCAATGTCCGTTGATCGGATGCCATCAGCAACAGCCTACTGTAGGGCAGAGAAAGCCAGCTTCCAGTTGTAGAGGAAATCAGGAAAGACATTAGGGATGGATAGGACATATATTGAGAAAATCACCAAACTGCATCACGGGCCAAGATCTAACTTAGAATCCAGAAGGGAAACGAAGGCCAAAGAACACACTGCGTCGAGAGTTGGATGCAGTCATCAAAACGATTGACTAGGATAGAAGAATGCTGATGGATGACCTATGCTGCTCCACGAGAGGTAACAGGCGTAGGTGAGTAATTATGTTGAACATGGACGATTTTGAACTCACGAAAATCAGAAAAATGTTAAAGATCATTATTATTATATCTGTGGTTTAATTACTTGTACTTTACGATGAAAAATTTCGGCGCCTGAACTGGAATTTGCTTCTATTGTTATTTCGGTTCTAAGTTATGAGTGGATCAATCGACAGTTTCCATTATCAAACTAGAGCTAAATTTAGACGTAAGGAGCGCACAACATTTTGTTTCCCCATATTATGACAATTATGCTTTTAGATTCTGACTTCTACTCATTCATTCACGAATACATATTTGGCACCTACACTTTGTAGGAGGACGCTATTCAGTCATATATATATATATATATATATATATATATATATATTTGAGGACGCTTACCACTTCCTAATACAATATAGGTTTATTTATGCTCACTTAGTTTTACCTGTCTTAAATTGCACTATTTCTGAAATTCTTAGTTGATTCAATGACTCGAATAATCCTAATTATCATACTGGCGTCGAGATGAAGTAAGATCTTGGACAGTTGGAAGATAATTCAATAGGAATTACTCTGAAGACAGCATTGAGCGGTTCAAAATCTGGTGAATGACAAGATTGCTTTGTTGATTTTTCAGAAGATATAAAACGAGTAACCGCGGAAAATAAAACTGATTGTGTACATATTGTTTGTTAGTTTATTTTATTTCGTAAATGGACGTAACGCATAGGTTTCTATACAGTTTTACCTGAGCGTGTTGAGAATGTAGAATTGCAAGTTTAATTCTATCTATAGAGATAGTTTCCTTCTTTCCATTCCTGCTAATAAGGAAGTGTAAGGTTGTCCGATATTTTTTCTGATAAGGTCCTTCGTATGGTTGTTTTAACTACGACTCGAACAAAGACGGAGTTACATGTTTTCAGGCGTTTTTAAAGCTGTATGAGACTGTTATGCTTACGGGGGGAGTATTGCTTCAACATTTTGCATTGTTTGCAATAGACGGTTCGCGAAGCGAGTAGGGTCATTTGTATCTTGGTTGACTAATTGTCCTGGCAACGTTGGGGTTGTACCATAGATTAATTCGGCTGATGTGCAACCGATATCTTCTTTGATAGTTGAACGAATCCCATGTGGTACAAGTGGTAGTGCGTCGCTACACTTCGATGTATCAGCTTGTGAGATCAGTTATCTTTTCAGTCGACGGTGAAATCTCTGAACCAGGCCATTCGCTACTGAGTGGTAAGCTTTTTTTGGATGTGGTTCAGTCTCAGAAGTTTGGCAAAATCCTGAAATAAAACGGATTGAACCATGGAACCACGGTTTGTAGTAACAATTGATGGGACGACCCAAAGACCAGGAAATACTGATGCGACTGTTTCTGCTGATATGTCTTTGATAGGGCATGTTATTTTAAACTAATTTTACAGTCATTTGTAGTACATGTACAAATTATAATTATTAATTAATTGTAAAATTACAAGCGCCCCTATCTCCAGAACAAAATACCAATAGAATAAGAACCTCATTATACAATATTTACAGACAAATTAAATAGACTGGGACACTTAAGTGAGTAATTTGTGAAATTGTAGCTGCTAATTACAAGCGGGAACTTCCGTCTCACATAATGTGACTAAATTTTGATATAAGTTAAAAGTCGATTCGCACTTCTAATCATCGTATCTTTGTGATGATAAACAGATGTGCAACGATCTTATTAACGCTATACTATTCAATGTAACCACAAGCAAAAGGTATTCGAAAGTTATATGTGAACTCACTCCTCCCCAAGCAGATGTAGACCAGGCTGGGGTCCATGCATGATGTTTTGCTCACCAATGTCTAAACCATTGTTTATTTTCTTTTAAAACATAAGCCCAACAGTTACTTCACACAAGCCATTACCCACATTCGTCTTCTTTCCACAATGCATTGTACACTGTTTAGGTTTTCACACTATCATTTACATTACTACTATTTCAACTCTTTTCTTATCCATTGCGTCGATCCCATTTCCTTGTGTTGATGTGTCTTAGTAAGACTGAATGACAATACAGGGGCTACCGAAATGCTAGTTTACGTGTAGAAATCCGAATACTGACCACTCCTATTAACCAGTCACAACTTGACCACTATGAAAAAATTGTGTGTAAAATGGCTTCATAAAAATATCAAGTAACTAGTGAGAATAATAACAAAAAGGACTTCTAAGTGATAAACACTACATCCAAAGAGGTTTATGAGTTGGTAAGCTACGTGTAGTAGTGATGAGGATGATAAGGGTAACTTGATCAATTAGGCGTATGACGACATTGATAGTTGGTCGAAACTTCGGCGATACATGTGTGCACAGCCAGTACCAAATTCATTGGAAATATGGGGAACTACATAAAACAGAAACTATTTGTTTATATCGATCACAAAGTAACGGACGACAGGATTGGATCGATAAGCAGAAACGGGTTTAGGAGTAGGTATTTTGTCTACTAACTGGGAGACCGTAATCGACGAATCAGTCAATAGCAAATATTGAATGTATAGTCTACTCCATAACCGGCATGAAAAAACATTTTGATAAGTGCATTCCACCAAATGTGAGCAACATAACGCATGTTTATTGAGAACGTACTCGTCATTTTTATGCTGGCTGAGGTTATCCGACCTTTTATTAGATGTGCAGTATACAGCGTTGTTCCGTTCCTTTAATGGGTGGGTGCTGCATGAAAGTGTAACCTTGCTGGGGACTTCATTTCACACAGCTGTCTGTTATGAATACACTTTAGTGCAGTGCATCCCAACATGCCAGATGAAAAACGAATAAGGTGTGAGTTAGGGCTTCAAATGAAGGCTGGTAAAAATCATTTATATGCAGCCAAATGAGCAAAAATGTTGGATAACTCACACCTCTTGGATGACTTGGACCTTCACTGGCTATTAACATAACTCATTTTTCGTAATAAATGAACTGAATTTGAGTGCCTTACTAAATTTAAGTTGCCATGTTGTTTCTAGTATTCATAACACTCTTGCCATAGCTCACGATGAGTTTACTACTGTAAATCAATTACAGTCAATTAGTCTGACAAATTTTGTGTAAGGACATTAATGAAGTTACCACAAAGTGACTATGAAATAAAAATATTATATTTAAAAAAACCCCCTCAAAATCAAGTATAACCGGACTTTCTCTTTATGTTTTATGTGAACATAACATAAATACGAGAGACAACTTCCGACTATGGTGACAAAAGAAGTTAATATCGTCATATCTTGATATGAATAGGATGGAGAAAAAGTTTAAAATTTCTATCGTAACATGATAAAGCGACTAAGAAGACTTTTCAGTAATGAACGCATCAATTATGGTCATATTAGTTTTTTTTATACAAGCAAATAAACTATTCACATGATAATGGTAATAATGATAATAATAATAATAATCAGAAAATATTATAATGTAGACGGGAAAATACTGAACTACATTGAAGTTTTAAAGAATAAAATAAAGTACCATAGAGAATGATCTACTTGTCTTGACATTCTTCATTAGAACCTATATGAATTTCTCTAGAATCTATAGATGAGTGATCTTGTTTATTTATATTATGATTGGTATTATTATTGTTATTATTATTATTATTATTAGAAGAAGATTGATCAGTTAAACTGATATCATGCTCTTGACGATCTGATTTTATTTGTGTCAGTTTATTTTCAAGATTTTTAAGAGCATTTTGAACAGCCAATATAACTTCACGACGTTTATTTCTGATAAATGTTTCACCAGATGAATCGATTTTATCCAATCGTAGCATAAGCTTATCAAGTTTATCTTCGAGTAACAGATAAGCTTTAGTTTTATATGAAGCTGGAAAAAATATATAAATATATATACACATGTAATTGGATAAAATTATGTATGAGAATATAAAAAAGATTCATTAATTTCATCATAATGAAGGTATACAAAGATCATTCATACTTTAAATCGGTGTAGTCTTCTAGTAATCGGCTTTAACCGGGTCGGTGGATATGGAAGATCCACGTAGGGGAGTTGGAAAACCCTCATTTCAAAACAAAGGTGCACATGGAATCCGGGATCCTAAGGAAACAAATCACGTATGAAACAATCGTTGGTCACCGGCTACCATGAGACTGTATATCCTCACGTTGTTTCATTGCCTTGTGGATTAGACCTTTAGGTCAAAGGCTCGGGGTGTGGCCCCCTAAGAAAAGCACCTGCTTTGGTTTGAGCACCCGGGCAGTATCCTAACACTCACATAAATCGAATGATTTTTGTAGTGCACGTCTATTTAATGTCTTCCTGTACCTATGTTTATGTGTTTAAGTAAATATGTAAGTAAACAAATACCATTATATGAATCACAAAAATAAGACTTAACGATAACTACAATAATTGAATTTATTGAAAGGAACTAATAGAAACCTTCTATGCCTTCAGTATAAATTATTCAGATTAAATTTAATTTGTCGGCAAATTCAACGAAGAGTTGGGGCTACAACCATCGTTACGTAATTTTATTAGTATTTATGCTTGACTAAGAAAATGGGTCACTATCAATATTGTTTTTAAAAAATTGCAAGCCACACTTATTGCTTACATGTAGTAATGGTAATTTCTACCAAAGTGAAGTCGAAAAGCGGGTGTTTAAGAGACTAGAACAGGGGTCGTTGGATAAATTTTTATCTAGTGGAGTTGGAAAATCTTGATTTCAATGATGTAAATGAGCTATACGACCCTGAGGAAAAGTGTGGTGTATAAACCTGATTTAGTTACCAGGTTTCATGGGACTGAGATCTTCTGAAGTTGTTCAAATCCTTTGTGGACTAGACCTTCAGATCAAAGACTAAAGAGGTAATACCTGAAGAAAACATGTGCTTCGGTTTAGGAATACAGGGAGTACCACATCCCAAATACAAACACATTGATGGATAACTACGAAAAAATGTTCTAGAAACTTTGAGTCACTACGCATTTAGACGATATCGTTCTTTGGTTATTCACACTGCTGACGATACCTTAGGCTGTCTTTTGAAAAACCATAAAGTTGAAGTATTGAATTTTTGAGACTTCGATACAAGACTCTAATAAGGAAATGAGAATGTAATCTCTATTTGTCGATTCCAAAAACCTGTTTCACATACGCTCACTCAAGGGCCCCGTACCATCGACGTATATTTTAGCTCGTACCGATGTCACGCTAAGTGCCCTAGCCAAATCGGGACCCACTTATCAGATTCCCACTGACAACTGTCCCTGTGTTAGTAGGGTGGAAGGCTCCTCCCAAACTGAAAAACTGGCATGAGGAACATCAACCACTAATGGTGTAATCACAGATAAGCTAATCGATGCAATGCTTCTGAAACTCAAGCCTGGATTAAGAATGGTCCCTGAGAAGTATATGAATAAACTAAATGCACTGTAAATAAACACCTCAGGCAGAGTGAGAGTGTACAACCACCTCTCCATTGTCTCAAGTCAAAAGTGAAGTTGAAGACTCCTGGCCGACCCCAAACTTATGCATCGATGATATCCTGAAGACAACTGTGAAGCATGTAGTTGTGGTTTGGATGTCTTCAGGAAACTCTCCCATCCTTAATATGAAATCATGATATAGTATACCCAAATCGAACTTCAGTATATTGAATACGTGTTACGAATATTGTTCCACAGACTTCCATATTATTTATCATTAGCAGACATCGGAATTTAATGGAAAAAGGATGATCAGTTTATGACATAAATCTTGGTATGAAAGACAGTTACACAGGACTGGCATCTGTAGGTTCATCTGGATCCCTTCCTCCAGTCGACATCTTCATAACTCTTTTTTTTACTACTTATATGTTTTATTTGACTGCTAACATGCATTTCCTATTACATAATTTATAATGATTAGTATCTTGGTCAGTTTATTCTCTTAAGCTTTGACCCATTTCATATATCAATAAGTTTGTTCATATTATCACTTCGTTAATTATTCGTACCATTGTTACTACAATTGTTATTCTATTATCGACTTGTGTAATTTACTTATAACGATTAGTTATGTAATTCTTTTTCATTGACCCATAAACTGTCTTGATTGGTTTAAGATTTTTATATCAACATCACTGTAAAATAGAGTAAAGCTAAATGAAAACAATATTGCTCGCTTATACCTGAGTTTTTCCACAGTATAAACTATAGGATTCATTAATACACATATACATACTTATATATGTATATAATACGGTACAAAATATTTTTTAATAAATAAGTCAACTCACAAGTAAACCCGCTAATCTCAGCTTCTATTTCTGCAAGTTCACATTGAGCTTGTTCTATAAGAGAGAATGGATCTGATGTTGTTGGTTGAGATACATTTTCATTATTATCACTATTATTATTATTATTATTATCATCTGAAATTTTAACAGAAACAGATTTGATAGGAATTGATTCGCTTTTATTTGTGGAAGAATTTTGATTAGATTTATACGAATCAAACGACTGAGTTGCTGGGGTGTTGTTCAGCTTTTGTTCATATTCATGATGGTTACTATTATTATTATTATCATTGTTATTATTATTATTCGAAGAGCTGATAGAATGCACCTTGGTAAGAGTTGTTAAAATGAAAGAAAATATTTCTAATAACATATACAATTCTAATACAACTATAGTCAATATGTTCAAGTCAAATGATTAATAATGCAAGAATAACAACAACAACAAAAGTCACATTGACATAAACAGCTAGTCAGGTAGTAGTGTAAACAACACTTTATTTTCTAATTGTTAACACGTAATCAAACTGGTCATTGAGCGCTATTGATTGACGCTATTAATCAGTAAGGTTGTTTGCAACGCTCAAGTGTAACTCATATTTTGACAAGTATTCAAACTATCACACACATTTAATCTCACAACTAGAAATATTGATCTCTGGTTATTCAAGATGTAAACGATACGATGGAAGGATTATCACCGATGTCAAACCGGGCACTGTTTGATGAACAATCTGTGATACCAAATAATATCGCTAAAAAAACAAAGTTTACTGAAGTAACAAGTACGAACAAGCTGTAATTTTATCGATGGGCACAAAAACAATCCATCATTGTATTGTATTAATTACCTATACCTGTCTAATAGTGTATAAATATAGAGCTATGTCGTGCTTAAACAGTCCAGCCATATTACTTATAAGTAGTTATAATTTTAAAGAAGAGAATTTTCTAATAGATTATCATGTGAATAGTTGAGAAAAACAATTAGATATGTAGTTTATCTACCGGAAAATAAAAAGAATTTAAGCAAAAAGGCTGTGATAAAAAGGTTTACTTGAGAGTGAAAGTCTTTAAACTAATATGCAGATAGTGCTAGACTGGAAATGCACGAATTTTCGGACAGTGAAAGGCAGCAGGATCAAGTAGGTGCGACTGATCAGGTTTGAGGCTTTATTAAGAACCTTAACATGGAACTACCTAAACTACAGGAACACAAATTAAATACCAAACTCAAAGTGTATAAGGCAATTCCACTAGCTAAGTTCACGATCTAAACTACGAAAATTCCATAGTTCTGTAAACCCCATGTAGTAGTTATAACCACGTGCTCACTAGCGACAAGCTTCAAGATCCAACTACCGGAATCCTAGTGAGGAGTGATCGGCGGACTCCAATCATGTTGAGTGAGACAGATATTAACTCTAGGTAAGTGATGAGGGTTGTGCAATATCATGAACTGACTGAAGATAGACATGTACGTCATCAGATACTTGTCCAGTGGTCTAGAAGTCAAGCGTTTGGACATGAAACCGAAAGTCTTCTGTTTGATTACCCGATGCGAGTTCGTAGATACGCTCTGCTGAGAAGTCCCACATTAGGACGAAACGGCCGTTCAGTGCTATCAGGTTTTCAAAAATGGTTTAGCTAAGACCAGTAAGTGATTTAAACTATAAAAACCATAAAAGGGTTTCTAAATAGTTGTCAGGCTAATTGACAAAAGACATTACTGAACATAATTATTTAATTTAGTTTTGTACAAATAAAGGGAAGAACAGTGTATAATTGTGAATGAAACTGAAAGGTTCGCTCTTACAATAAAGGTATCTGAAAGAAAAAGTACAGACAGAATAATTCAGTAGCTGGATCATTAGTTTATAAGATCACTGATGAAACCCTAATTAAAAATGACAACTTGACAGGCTTATAGAAATTTCGACCAATAGATGTATGTATGTGAAAAGAGTTATCACTGGATCTCAGTACTACTATATAGTAAAGGCAACAAGATTTTCAGGAAGCACAGTTGAAAATAGTTAAAACGATGACGTTGAAACCTATAATCCAATATAGCTAACTATCGTTGTTCAATTTAGTGAGATTATCAGTCAAATCATTGATTAACTCTATGTGGTTAAGTTCCGTTTTTTACACCAAAGCAGATATAACAATTGAGTCTTGATTGAAGAGATGCCAAAACACTTTACCGATTGATCTCCTTTAGATATGAAGACACTTGGAGAGTGTATAGGGGAAAGGTGACTGTTAGATTTATTTGAAATATCATATAGGACAATAGAGCTCTCAAATTAAGTCCCCCAAAAAAATAATAATGGTTAACATCACACATAGTTAAGTCAAAAGACAACTATATCAGCTTACCTTGATTGGTATTGGTTCACTAACATTATCATAATGTGATTGAGTTTTACGTTGAATGTTATCTCCTACATTGCCTAATTTAATATCTCCTGGATTGGAAGGATCGATCACTGGTTCATTTCCAGGAAGGTTATATTGTCGACGATTATTAATAGATTCAGATGAATAAGATGGGACAGATTGTAAATTTTGTGTGATATTACTCTAGATTATAGAAATATAGCGGAGAAATCATTAAAAATATGAATATAGGATAAGGACTATAAAATTCTAAATTACATAAGAGACATAAACATCATCACAATGAGATAAATAAAGAGGAAATTTTATGGAAAGAAATGTTTTTCATGTTAGTTTCAAGTGATGAATATAAACATTTCAATTAGTTGCATAAGATCCAGTTTAGAGGGATTAAAAAAAAACGTGTTTCCGAGGAAAATCAATGCCTTACCAACAAATAATAAACTGCCTTAATTTGAATTGCATCACATAAATTAATGGTATTATCACTCAATTAGGATACTATATTCATTTCTAAGTAGTTTAATTTCAAAATGTTTAGTATTTTAAACATTGGTATAAATGGATACTGACAGTGGTAGACTGGGATCATGAAGATTTTGAAAGATTCGCCTAGAATCCCAGTAAATCAGTCAGTCACAAGCAATGTAGAACTTGATATATATATAATCACTATAACGAGGTGAAATCATCAATACGAATCCCAAAGTAATGCAAGTAGTAACAGTGTCAAAATTAGTAATAAAAAATATTATGCATAGAAAGTATAATATGAGAAGAATGAATTCTTGGCAAAGAAAAGGATGAGATAATTATAAAACTCAAAATTTACGGGGAAGATAGACAACGAATAAATGTGGGGGAATGTGATCGGCTTAACCCATTTCATATCCTTCAATGTCTTTCAAACCACTGGTCACAATGATTGCGTGGATCAAGTCATTTGCACCTACCAACACGCCTTAATCCAACAATCAATAACTCTATGAACTAGTATCATATTTTGGCTTGATTGCCTGTATTTTCCTTTCAATCCAGTTCTTCAAAACTGAGAATCATTGCGCGTAAACAAATTCAGTCATATAAACGCTTGAAATATAACAATTATTCCCATAAAAGAGAATTCATTTTATGATCATAATGAGGGTTTTGTGGGGACTGTAGTAATTTTCTAATAGTTGAATTCATGAGTTGATGTAAGCTAGATCACCATTGAAAAACTGGAAGCACTGGATGGCCGTTTCGTCCCAGTATGAGACTCCCCAGCAGTGTGCATCCACAATCCCTCATGCGGGACTCGAACACAGGGATTTATGTCACCCGTGCGGACGCTTAACCTCTAAACCACTGAGCCGGCATTCAACGATGTTCATGCTTCATTTCAATCGGTCCATGGTCTCGCGCAACCAATCATCTATTGTCTTACATCGACTCATGAATTCAACGATTACAAAAAGAAGTTCATTTTCTCAAATAACTATTTTATACATCTAAAACGTAACATTTTCATTGTTCTTAAAAGTTTATAAACCTGAAGTAAAACTAAAAATAAGAAACCACAGAAACGGTTCATTCGCGTTGGAAACGAACATTTAGCTGTCATTAATAAATGATTGAATTATATAGTATGTTGGTCTACAGATATATATATATATATATATATATATAGTACATTTTCATATAGTAAGTACAAATAATTGAATATGCACCATTTTAAACTACCTTTTTCTTAAAATAGATTTTGAAAAATTACTTTGCAAGCTTGTTGATTAATATGCAACACAAAGGTCAAGGTTGTAATTAATAATAGAACATGAATAAGATTAACAAACTGTACAATCAATACCAATATTTAGCCACTCTCTTAAATAACCAATGTCTCTGATATCTTTTATAGACTTATTTATTTATTTGAACAGATAAACATTGGTACAAGGGGGAACCAAACACATATGCGCCACACAAAAACAATGAACCCAGTAGCAGTTATCAATGATTTGTGTGAGGGCTGTGATACTTATTACCAGGGTGCCCAGACCAAAATAGGTGGTTTACTTACGGAGCCACACACCCCTCTTTTATGAAAAAGAAAAGTGATCAGAACATTTCTCAATTGTCAGTATGAGGATTTTTGGAGATTGTAGTATTTTCACAGTTGAATTGACGAAACGATTTAAGCTAGATCACCGTTGAAAAACCTAGAAGCACTGGACTGAAGTTTCCTCCTAATACGGGACTCCACATTTTAGATTGACTTCAGTAAAGAAAATCTTTTCTTTTTGACGATATCATTTTTTTGAAACTGTACAATCGTATTTATCGCTAGTTTTTTGCGTGAATTAGTCTATAGTAAAATAGAGGAGTGTTAATAAATTATCCAAGATAGTCAAAGTTATTCATGTATCGGATGTGATTCAGAAATCCTACTTGGAACGGACAGTATACGAACTTTCAGAGTTATGTATCGCTGAGTAGAAGGATAAATTTAGTCCATTCACTATTCTCAAGAACCAGAGGAATATGCTCTGAAGACAAGCACTTGATGATGAGCTGAATATAGTCCAGTGAAAACTTCTCAAGAATGGCTTCCCACCCAGATTCATTGATAGTAATCTAAAACCAAAACATCAAATTAAAAGTATTCCTACAGTTCCTAGGGAATTCAATGGGGATACGGATCCTAAGATATGAAAGAACAGATTATGTAGATCCCTGAGAACGACGTTTTATTTCGTCGTTTCATAATGTTTTCTCCAGCAAAAAACCCATTCAGCGAAGTCTCAAAGATAAACTGCCGCTTTGGGTCACCTCAGTTTACTTGCTTTGATGGAGCACGTTATATAGGCCGTACAAGGTATGCATTTTGTAAGTCCATATTCGAGCAATATCTTGAGTGGCTATCTTAAAGAGAATGCAACGTGTTACGTATGCCTGAACACCGATTACCACGACGTGCAATGCTAACCGGTGTTGGAGATGGTTGAAAGAAAGTTAGGGGCGGCCAAAACAAAACGTGGCATCAGCGCTTGAAGTCACTAACTTCTAGTCTGAGCCATGTTGGGAGATACAGACTACTTGGTTGGGGTCCGTGTGACTATCGTAACCAATGGTTGGAGACTCTAGGTAACATGTCTCAGAATCGGTCACAATGGCGCCGGTGTATACACTCTCTGTCTCCCCTTAAACTATGAAATTAAAATCGCTTCATATCTTCCTTTCTACGAACTAATTCTTCCTTATAGGCAATCTTCCTTTTATATATTACCACCATTGGATTAACTACTTCTATGAGTTTGGTGTTGATCTTGTTGTGCTAATGAGGTATGGGAGCTTGGACCGATGCTTATATGTGCCTGGTCCTACAGTGTAGTTGACTGACAGACTGAATGTATTCATTCATGCAAAATAATCGAATAACAATGTAATTCTACATAATTGGAATTTAGTGAAGTCATAGCAACTTAGAAAGCTTAAACATGACCTTTATGTTTAAACAAGTAAGTAATTAACTAACATCTGTCATGATAACCTGAGTATATTGACTTCTATTCTTTTTTTTCTATCATTCAATTCATTATAATCATAACTTCATTAACTGATTAGTTCTTTCTAAACCTCCTTTAAAATTCTCATGATATTGAGTAACAAAAATGATCTTAAAATATTTTAGTACTGTCATCACTTTTGGTATTTTCTTTTACAGTCTATACTTTGTAATTAAACAATTTATATTGTGTAAATTCCAAATTCTAATGTAAATAAAGTAAAGTGACTAAATGTATTAGACTGTATATGTGTGTAGCTAAAAAATAAAGCAACTCAAAAATACCTAATGATGAATACGTTGTATTCTATATCATTAATGTCATATTCTCGCTTTCTTTGATAGGATAACTATTCACTTTAAAAAAATATTTTGTATTAGTATGAGAATTTTCGGAGATTGTAGTATTTTCATAGATGAATTTACGAGTTGATCTAAGCTAGACACCACCGTTGAAAACCTGGAAGCATTGAACGGCCGTTCCATCCTAGTATAGAACTTTTCATCAATGACCATCTACGATGCCGCCTTACGAGATTCGAACGACAAATTCACAAAAAGACCAATCTATCAGAAAAATATTTTGTTTCACCATTACTACTAGACAGTATTCATAACGTGTGTTTACTGTGTAGTGACCTTCTTTTATCAAGAAAATGCGATTAATTTAATGGAAACAATCATTATTATAACCAATTGTACCAGTGATTGTTTCACTATGCTCGTTTGTTTAACTGTGCTAAAGACAGCCATATTACTCCTCCATTACTTTTCCGCGGATTGTGACCTTGCACGGGTTCGGTTGCGCTCGGTAACCACGCTTGTACTCCTTTGGCACGATCTCGGTATCCTTTTGATACCACGAGATCGCCAACAAATACATCTCGACTACAGCCATTAACTGCCTTCTGACTTACAGGGGATTTTATCGGTCAACTGGCACGTAGTCTTCTTGTAGTGGTGTTCATAGTCAACTGAGATTCGACTCCACGCTACAATCCAGTCAATAAAAGTGAACTTTTCAAATAAACTATTTTGAATAAGATATTCTAAAAGAACGTTATAGTCGATATCAGCTGATGAAATATGAAAATTGAATTATTGATCTATACATTCAGTTATGATGGGAGATGTTTATAGGCTTATAGGGTGTTAATATCAGTTTCGTATTGTTTTTCGTCTAAAATACAGAATTTCAATGATGCTTTGCCAAAAATAGAATGGAACAGCCAGAATTCTACAATTAGGTACATAAAAAATTACGAACTGTTTAAGAATCACATTATTTTTGTTAGACATAAAAAAGTAAGACAGTTATCAGAGTTTGCTCCTTAGTTATATTTTATAGACAAGTAGAGGATATTGACTGAATGTTTACTGGCTGAGTTGGATTAAAAACGCTTCACTGTTATATAAAAACAACACAATCATAGACCTCATTAAGATTGACGTAGGAATATGTACGTTAAACTCTTTATTCATAAGAAATAACTGGATCCTACTGAAGCAAGTGACAGTTGAGAATTAATCAACTCCTAAAGTTATATGAATTTTCGTTCAGTACAACTCTGTGTTGCGTTGAGTGTACTTAGTTGACAGAATTAAACTTATTGAAAATTATCAGAATGGGTTTTGTGGAATTTTTTTTAGAAATTTCATAGGTTGAAATCATGAGTCGATTGAAGCTAGACCACCGTGGAAAACCTGGAAGCACTGGACGGCCGTTTCGTCCTAGTATGGGACTCAGCAGTGCGCACCCACGATCCTGCACCACGCGGGGTTCGAACCCAGGACCTACTGGCTTCGCGCGCAAGCACTTGACCACTAGACCACTGAGCCGGCATCCAACGGTGTTAATGTCCAACTTCAACCAATCCACGAAGTGATCATTCTATTGCCTAAATTATACATATACAACTCGCTAATATTGAGCCGATGAGTACACAATTACTGGTGACAGTAGTGTCTGTATTAATCCGTATCTGTTGTTGGAAACAATATAAGTATATACACAGACTGTTCAGTAAACAATCCAACTGAGGACAAGAATTTTATTCTACTAAATTTAGAGTTCATAAGAGTACTTCCTATTGTTTAAAATATCCCTGAAAATCTTTAAAATTTAGTCTATTCAGTACTATCGTCTTTCTAGAAAACTGTATTAAATTTAGTTTGTCAACAATCATCAATATTGGTTTAGAAGTTAGAAAGTACAGGAGATTCCGTATATTTAGTATTTCCATCAACAAAAGACTTCGATGATCATCCTAGTTATGAATCACCACTGGAGTTTCTAACATATTGACAAACCCTTGACCTTCTCGAAAAAAATCTGTTTTCATCAGTTGATCAAAATTGCAAGAAAATTATTGGTGTAACTTTAACCCCCTAACTATATACCTGTACATAGAATTGAAATGCTTTATATTTTATGTGTACAATTTTTAAAATATCTTTATTATGAAATTATTCAATTAAATTACTGTAGTAGTAGCTTCGTGATTCAAAATTCCATAATAACTGAATAAAGAGACCTAATCTAATTATTTTTAAAAACAAAAAAATATAAGTTCAAGGTCTGGTAAGAGTAGAGAAAGAACAGGCCAACGGGAAAACTAGTTAATAGTACAACCACTTAAAGGATGAAAGTTTATTAGTACATATGAGGTTGCCAATCAAAGGACAATTTTATAAACCCAAACCATTAACTACACACAACGAACACATACTTTACAAGACTATAAATCATTACATTCATCATTGATTAACAGTCGAAAGGTCACACACACCAACAAAGGTAATGAAAAAACAGCTGTTTAGTACCATTGGTTCGATTATTTAAGCTTCAACTTGGTTATGAAACGTGGAATAGCTAAATAAAGACGATATGTTGTAACGGTTTCAAGCTATGATTTTAAGCATTATATACATACCAACAAATCAAACAATTGCATTATTATTGTTTGAAGTTGTTGTATGGACACAATTTTGTTAACGGTTATGTTGATATAGACTCACTTGAGTTTTAGACTTTCGTGGATCTTCCCATGTAGTTGACTTGTTAATGTGATCGATAAAAAATGGGAAACCAGTGATACTATCATAACCCATAGACCATCCAGGAGGTAAACCTTGTGAGCTCATAATTTGTACACCAGATGGAAGTCAGCTGGTTAGCTCGAAAGATTAACCGAAAAGCTTTGCAATGCAATCCAGCAACCTGTAGAGGAAAATATAACTTCCTAATCAATATTACAAGTACTATATATAACACAATCTCTAGAACAATGAAAGTTCATAGGCTTAAAAAAACCTGGCAAATCGTATACTAACGAGGCCGGAATATCACGATGATGCACATAACTTAAACAAACAAAGTTTATTGTGAATAAGAAAGTCCGACTGGTAGTTGGTGAAATACACACATTGCTCAAGAATGAGGGGAATGAGAAAAAGTGAAGTTGGACGTAAAAATCTGGTTAACGATGGAAATGCAGCTGACATGACTGTAGAGCTGCATCACCTGAGATGCGTAGAACATACACTGCGTATCCTGAAACTAAACTAACCTCGATGGGTAATCACTATTACCTACTCCTAAGTTATGAGTTGATATATTATTTCACCCATAACTTCTTTTCAGATCATGCTTTTCATGTGATTAGTCTACCATTTTGACCTGTCATTTAACTTAATTTCATCTCGCTCTGGTGAAATGGTACGATAATTTGGGTGACAAATATCTAGGCCAGACTCTACATTCACCATGACTGCGATACATTGGAACTCAGACAAAAAAACAGCTCACCCACCTCTTCACCCATAACACAATCGTAAAACGTGACCGGAGATGGGTTAAATAAGTAAACTATATGTAAGTGGTGCTTTGGAAATATCGCTGTGGATATTGGCAGCTTTATTGAGTTGTTTGAATATTTGACATAAACTTCCCAGTAAAGGCAAATCTTTCTATATAAACACCAATCGAATGAGATTGCTGGAGCATGTGCTTAGCTTAACGGTGCAACAACATATATTCACAATGGATTTCGAGTTGGACACCAAGTTTCACGGGCTCGAGTGACAGAATGGTTAATGGTCACAATAGTACAAAGGCAGCTGTGCTATATCAGTGTTAACTTCAATTAGCTTATCAACTTACTTACGAGGTTTAGTGTCCTTCATCTAGATCACTCTCGTATTCGAATTCTTCCTATGTACTACATCGAAAACTAAAAATTTAAATGACCAGAACTATTTTCAGTCTTATGTTGTTGTATTACCCATAATGAGAAAGCCGTGTAGATTAGGTCTAGCTAAAGAACAGTTAAACAGCACATGCCATTTGGACACTGTGCCGTGTCTGTTCTAGACAAAAGTGATGCAATCGAGTTCTCCTGAAAATATAACTGGTAAAAGCTACCATTGAACGCAGGCAATTTATTCAACACTATCACTATGAGGACTTTACAATGTTGATGTCGGCCATCTGCTCCTCAAACAAGATCGGAGAACCATAATAACGGCTTTCTAAGTACAAAAGGGAATATGCTGCTTTGGTACAGTTAAACGATACAATGGAAATAGAAATTATAGGATGTCATGCCAACTACTACTTACATTAAACTCTTTCGTTTCCTTTTCTAGTTCAAACTTGTCTACTTAGTCATGTTTAAGTGTTGGATCTACCAATTCCTGCTCTGGTTTCAATTTACATATTTGCTTGATGGTCATCGGAATAATCAGCCTCAATCGATGTGTTTTTAAGGGTGCCACTGTCCTAATTTTTGTCTGATCTTTTTTCATAGACGTCCCAACTAGTTCAGCGTCCAGACCGATCATAGGCAACAAAGTGGTCAGCCACCCTGTCAGCCTTAGCGGCTGAAGGATTTCAGGGTGACAGTACAGCATCAGTCAGTCAGTCAGCTACAACGTAGGATCAGGCACATATGTGCATCGGTCCAGGTTGCCATACCGCATCAGCACAACAAGATGAACACCGGATTCACAGCAGTGGTTAGGTCAAAGGTGGACAAGTATGTGCTACTTCACAGAGATAGTAACCAAAACGGTATTAGTCGCTGTCAGTAACGCGACCTCCCTTGTAGTAGTGTGACCCGTTGTAACACTAAAAACTGGTTTTATGTATGAGAATTAAGTTATGGGTGAAAATAATTCGCCTACCAGCTATAAAGACCATGTGACTTGATTTCGAAGGATGATAAGAAGGCAAAACCAGTCGAACTTTTTTGAACGAGATACAAGTAAATGATTGAGAATATTTCGCTTAACATTAAGTGTGCAGTGCCAATGGTGAGCAGAACACATTGACTTTGTAGCCTTTGAGAGACTCTGGCATGACATTTTCGGCCGCAGGAAATGACATGATTATTACGGTAGTGTTGCTTAACCAACAAAATATAAGCTACAGTAATGAAAATCGCTTGGATTCCTTTCCAGAAACGTAGATAACCTTAAAAAAAACCGTTCATGCCAAACAGGATCAAACAAAGGTATATCGAAGGGTACTTCGATTAGGCTACAGTGTACGGTTAGGCAAACTAAAGTCAAGACACCGAGTGGGATGAGAAATAATCCACATCTACGATTCATTAAAAAAAGCCTAAGCAGTAAGGAAATACAACTACCAACTCAGGAAGACCCACAGTCTGTATGAAACCAACTGTATATTCTACTTTCATAGGACCCTTACTCAATGACGTCATGTTAGTAAAAACAGGGGGAACTACTTAATGAACTCAGTATACATCGTGTTTTTTAAACAGTTAACCCCAGTACAAATAGTTCGTCTAGAAAGCACAACAAACTTGTTACGAAATGGCGGGATTTTAGTGACCTGAGACTCCAATCGCGAAGTGATTGTATGGTAGAGGTGAATGGTATTTAATTAAATCCTCAGCGGTGAAGGAATGCAATCAGAATGGATTAGTTCCTTTTCCATTCAAAGCAGAAGTTTATGAAACAAAGGTTTTATTCGACGCATTGGCTAACTGCGACCAAACTAACTCTTTAAATATGGGTTATCTTTATAAAGGTACACAATCTCCCTATTCTGAGGAAAATCGTGCCCGGTCTGCGTGAACCAGAATCAAAAGAGGGCTATGAACCAGTTTGAGGGATTAGAACTGCGATTTACAGTTGATGATTAATGTTAGAAATTAAATTTAGGGTTTTCATCACGAACTGACAGCGGCTATAAAGCCAAAACTCCTTCCAGCCGAATGGATGAGTGAATTTCGTGCCAAAATGCGAGACCTTAAACATGACTGGTTCATCTATAAATTATACTCTCGCCGGGGAAATCGCTACAGAAAACTTTGGGGAAACGGCACAAAAATCCCAAAAAAAAATCCCAAAAGTTTTGGGGAAATCTCAGAAATGTCTGGGGAAAACTACCATGTTTCTTACGACTGGGGAATGTCCAGAAATTCATCCAAAGTTCTTAAAAATTTCCCCAAGATAATGAGAATGGTCATTTACGCGACTGCGTTCGATTAGGTCGCTAAACTACTTACAAATACATATAGACTCTCTAGAAAAATACTTTGAAAGCATATGGAAAAACCTCTTTATCTAACTCGTTACAAAGGATAACTGAGGGGTTTGTGGAGTCACCATTACTTTGCGATTCACTTCACCTGTCCCATCAACTGTTTATTCATATTTCCCGCTACTAGACTGACTAGAAGCTATCAGTCTTCTAAAGGTCATTCTAGAAGCCACTATGTTCTGGGTTCAAAGATTTTTGGTAGCAATCTTCTTACAATACTCCATAAGTAGGAAATGAATGAGAAAGAGGTATCGAGTACTGAAGCTGGTTGGTCGCTCATTCTTATAAAGGTATCACAGCATGTTAACTGTGGTATTTTTACGAACTAATATTTCCTTTGTACGAGCGCGCTATTTAAGAGTACAGTGGTATTGTTTCATGTTGAGTTAATTAACTGTTTTGATCGTAAATTACGCATCAAAACTACTGTTTACACTTCGATTGAATCTATTCCAGTTAAAGTGATATTGTGTTGAGTGTTTCGATTTTGCTTTTGTGTATTTATTGTATCGAAGCATACTTAGTCGACTTTTACTTGATTTATTTGGTTAAGGTTTGAGAATTCTTTCACATATCCTGTTTTTGTCATCATTGTAGTTGATTCTGTCAAGATGGCCAGCTCTGCTCATAAATGTGGACAACCATATTGCTTGTTCCCAGTGGAGGAAGGGATGCGATGTGATGAGTGTAATTAGTGGTTCCATAAGATGTGCACCCGATTAAGCCCCACTGCATATAAAAGGTTCTCAAAGCCCAACCCTCATTGGATTTGTATTTTTCGTTGCTCGAGCAAAACATTACTCATCCTGGAAGCAATTAGCCTCCTTGTGTTGGTTAATAAGAAGGTCGGCGAGGGCTTTACTGGTGACATTCTTACTGATGGTGAAGACTGCGTCAGTGTCGTAAGTGCTTTCACGGCGCAAACCAGACATCTAGCTGTGCAACCCGCTATTGAATTTTCTATCCCGAAACAATCAGTGGGTGACACGTCATTAGATATTGGTGGCCATGTTGCTACAGCAGCGACCAGTGATCCAGGCAAAACAATTACTGTCCCGAGTAGTTCTAGTGTCGATGCTACGACTAATGGAAAATGGATGACGCGGAAATGCAGAACAGTAGGTAAAATAGTTAAAACTAATGCCCGTTTACTTGATAAGTCCTTGGATCACTCTCAGACTACTCTGCCAAAGTCTCAAAGTAAATCCTCGTCAAACATTGTTGTGAGTCACTCGCTCGACTCCCATGACCCTGTTACGATAAAAGCTCATTGTAATATGCCAGCGATTAATATGCAAGATCTAACATCACGATCGAAAGACGTGGACCCGATTTCCAACGAAGTTAAACCCCTCCCTAGTTTAATTATTTGGAATCTAGAGGAGTCGAAAGACAATGACCCTCCGAAAGGACACACACACGATCTGCAGTTAATGGAATCTGTGATAAGAAATGTACTACCTGAAGGGGTTTCAGGTGTACATATCTCGAAAGTAATACGACTCGGTAAATGGGTTAAAGGTGAGACCCAACCAAGAAAGATCTTGAAGCTGGTTCTCGGGAATTTTGAGGAAAGAGATATATCATTGAAGAACGCACAAAAACTCGTGACTCAAATATTCGTATCCGACCAGATTGGCCGCTTGAGGATCGAATAAAGTGGAAGAATGCTCTTACGGAGTTAAGGACTCGCAAGTTAAATGGCTAAACTAACCTTACCATTAAGGGTTTTCGGGTAGTGAGGTCCTGGATGCCAATGCTTCCGAAGCCTGTATGGGTAGAACGAATGATTACCAAAACACCCTAAGTGCGTGCTACACAAACGCCGTGGTCCTAGAAATAAAACGTCCTAGCTAGGTCTGATGGTGGATGAATTAAGTCCCGATATAATTGTTATTACAGATAGAATGTTACAGAATATTATCCCATCATTGCGGGTTATATCTGCATTAGATGTGATAGCGTTTAAAGTCACAAGGAGGGAGGCATAATGCCATACGTTAAGGATCACTTTCGTATACAATCAATCATGTTAGTGGTACTTGTGAGGTAGCATGCTGCAAGATTAAATCTAGAAATGGGTTAGTGACTATGGGGGGAATATACCGTAGTCCGTGTTGTCTTGCTGACGATTTTATATTAAGACACATCTGTTCTTGGAGTATGGCAGAATGTTGTCTCATCACCGGGGACTTCAACACACCGCATACCAAATGGATAGAGCTTACAGCTCCAGGTGTTGGTTTCGATAGAGGCCCTTTATCAACTGTTATTCAGTGTGCGCTTGCACAATGTATTGCAAAACCGACATATGTTGACTTGAAACATGATCGGTCACTGCTGGACCTCGCCCTCACCTACCACTATGAGGATGTCTTTGATATTCAGCACCTTCCACCAGTAGTGAACAGTGATCACGTTGTAATTCACTTTAAGTTTAGGACACATGGTATACAGTTTGTATCTGCTCCATCCCGTCCCAATATCTGGTTAGCTAATATTCTGGCAATCAAAAACTATGCTGTCTCGACTGATTGGTCGGTCGACGCGAAAGGATCGATCGAAGACGAATGGAACAAGTTTAGGGCTACATTCTAGTCCGTAACGTCGCCGTTTATCCCGTGGTCAGCACGTAAGCTATCACATTGCTTGAGTACCGAAAAAAACGGAATATTTGTAAGAAAACCATAGCTAAATCCCGTACTACTTACAGACGACAGTTGCTATATGATAGCCGTACTTGTCCGAAATGATTGTTTTCGTATGTTAAACGGCGAATGAAGCGTAGTGATGGTATTCCCCCGTTACTGTTACACGAAAATTCAGATTTACTAACTGAATCAGATCGGGCAAAAGCTGAGACTTTTTAAAACTATTTTAGCGAAGTCTACCCTACGTTTATTGTAAAAAAAATACTTGTCCCAATCACACCGAGATACCAGGCATTGAATCTGTACAGGTGACTGTGGTAACTGTCCTTCTGTTGATAACTTACCTCAAACCTTGTAAGATGCGGGGCCCTGACGGGTTACATCCACGGTTGCTGTCATCTCTTGCGGACATTATTTCAAGACAGCTCGCATCGCTCTTCAACATGTCCATTCCACTCGCTCAACCCCCTACAGATTAGAAACGCGCTATAGTCACTTCTGTATTTAAGGATGGTCAGATGCAGATCGTATCTAACCACTGGCCTGTCAGTCTAACTGGCATAGTCGTTAGGTTACTTGGAAAGATAATTCGGGTTAAGTTACTTAATCACATAGATTCACACAATCTGCTAACTCCCGAGCAACATGGGTTCTGTAACATGTGTTCATGTTTGATTAACTTTCGTATTGCGAGAGAGGATTGGACAGCAGCCTTAG